CGGGTCAACATGAGTACACACAATTTTATTTTTAATGTGAAAAGCTGATAAACGAGTAGGCATCTAGACCACATGAGAGTTTGTAGATGCGTCGCCAAGCTTTAAAAGTGGACTCCGGCTACCTCACTCTACGAAGAAACTTGAAAGTACTATAATACTTCCAGTACACGTCTTTCTTCTGGGAGGCCATGGTACCAGCGGACGAGCCAATCTTTTCGTCCAACAAAGGCAAGTAGAGGCAGCAGTCGAGTTATTTCATCTCATAAATTTTACCGGTGTACCTAATATTTACTTAAGTAACCATCAAAAAAACTATATAATATAATTCTTAGCTAAGTAATAATAAAAAATCTATGTAAAGTACCTAGTTTAATGTTCTTTATGTTAGGTTACCTTCTCACCAAACATTTTAAACGGCAGGTCTCGAACTGAATTTCGTTTCGAGCCCTATTCACTTCAAGGATGTAAGCCGTTTAACGAAATTTAACTGTACATAAAATTTTATTGACCCATATATGAAATAGTGAGACAATCCCGTTCCGCATTCGCCGAGTTTCCCGAGTCATTAGACGCGTTTTTATTACCCAATGACAATAAACATGTCGTAAGCTATCGACTGAAAACATCCATAGAATCAGTTCCCCTGTCTTATTTGGAACAATTCGATTATTGCTATTATTGTATCCGATATAATTGACGCTATTAATTCGTTCTGCTTATCTGTATTAGTGATTGCGACATTAAATAAATGTAGATCCTTGTATCGTGTATTTTAAACATGCTTTTTTTAAATTGCATTTTTGACTCATATCATTTTATTTTATCACAAAACAAATTTAAAACTTTACATACAAATATTTCAAAATTGCATTTTTCATTAAAAATTCAAAAATATCTACTCCAACAAATAGAATCTTGGCAAAATAGCAAAGGCAATAGGCCCGAATTTTTCAACTGTATATATTCTCTGTATATATTTATCATAATCTAAAATACTTGACCGTAATACGTAGCTTGCAACAATAATTCAAACTTCGCCCGTGGAGCAAATGAAAATCGCGCCACTGAAGTCGGGTATTATTTATTGCTTACAATTTTGCTTACAGTAGAAAATATTGCGGCACATTTTTCCGCGACAGCGCGGGCGATACTCTCGGAACTCCTAATTTCTAATGGCCCATTTGCCACTTTGTCAATTGCTCCAATAAATCTGAGCGAGTCGCCCTGCCGCGACTGAGTTACGGCCCCGTCTTGCACTAAACAACGCGACATTCTTCTTGTTATTTCTATTTTCACCTTTATTGTTTCATCAGGCTTTGTTTTACTCGTACAAGTTGAATGTTACGTGGGAAAGTGGTTTAAAAATTATCCCGTATCATTTATTTAGCGAACTCCGAAATAGAACTGCCTATAATAAACCATAAAGTTTGTACGTGTCTATATTTAGACATATCGTCGATTTTGGTTCGGTCTAGAAGTTCTGGAGACTTATTAATAACACAATCATCATTGTTAACACAATTATTCATTTATCATTAATAACATTAAAATTAATTAATTATTAATCATTAATAATACAATCATCAAAATCTCTCAGCACCTCTATTATTAAGTATCATTACATTAATAAAGTTAAGTTTCAGCGCGATGGGCCATGGGTTCAATTTAACAGAAATATGAACTGCAAACAATTGTAAAAGCTTTGGATGTTCACCCGTGTTTCATATTTTGTATTCGACTCCCCTGCAAAACAGAATAATGTCATCCTGCATTTGGAGTACGCCTAAAAATACAGGTAGCCCGTAAAATACTCTTATCTACCTAAAATTTCAAACTGTCTAACAAAGCTTCCCTTCCCAGACCATTTGAAAAACTGTCACGCACTTAAAATGTTTAAACTCTCATCAATACTTTGCTATCATCCAAACATAAAAACCACGTTCAGATCACATGGAATTGTCTAGACTTTCCATTTACTGACATTTATTTTCATCCACTCAATACGACACTGCGGCCGAAGCTACAACATGATAAATTTTCAATTACTCCCAAATTGAATCGAAAACGCAGTTTCCAACGATTTTATTGGAAAGTTCCATTTTCGTTCTATTAAACAAAAGGTTTTACGCTCACTAGCTAAGAGTAAAGTTTGCATATAGTACTATTCTATTTTTAATTTGACCGTGCCCAAACGGCACTTTTGAAACGGATTTTACACCACAATTACCGAACAGGTCACATTTGAAATTGATTAAACGTTATTAATAAGGAAATTATTAATTTACAACATATTAAACTAAAAAAAAGTGCACGTTCACCTGTGATTTTTTTTTCAGTTTTAAAATAAAGTGTACCACTAAATAAAACGAATCAATAAAATAATTAAGGACGTGCAAGTTTTATTTTAAGTTATATTTAAAAATAGCTGCCACCCCGTCCGCTTCGCTGGGTCATACCATCTTTCTTAAAAATTCTTTATGTAAAAAAAATATACGTATCGGATAAGGCTGCATCGCCACTTACCATCAGGTGGGATGGCAGTCCAGTGCTGGTAAGTTCAAAATAAAAAAGAAAAAAAAATTATCACCAAATCATTTACTAAAACCTTCTCAGAAACACGTTGCATCTTATGGTATAAGTATTGTTTCGATCGGTTAAGTAGTTTTCGCAGTATAACCGAACAATAAGTCAACTTTTAACCAACTTCAAAAGGAGGAGGTTCTCAATTCGACTGGTTTTTTTTTTAATGTTTGTTACCTCAGAAGTTGTGAACCGATTTTGACGATTCTTTTTTTATTTGAAAGCTGGTGCTTCCCATGTGGTCCCATAATAATTTCATTTATAGTAAAAAAGTGGTTATTTCATTAACGAAAAACAAAACCGACTTCAAATATCTCGCTCTGTATTCATTTTATAATTGATTTTCAGGAGTTCCCTAAGTATCTCCGGAGCCCAAGATCTAACACCAATGAAATTAATATGGGACCACATTGGGAACATAATTATAGACTGATAATTTAATTTTTTACTTATTAGAATAGATATCGTTCAAATTTCAATTAGAATGATGGCAACATATAGAATTATGGAAATATTTGTGCATACACAAAAATATCGTCAAAACCACTACATCACTTTGCAATTCCGAACTGGCTGTCAATGTCGTTATTCGTTTATTTCGTGGCAGTTTTCGATTCCGTTTTTGGTCCTTGATTTACACCTAACACGACCTGACCACGTTTGTCGGACACTTTGATATGCCGCTTGTGTTTATTCCTTGAATTTTGAATGGAACCGACGTCGGAGTTGGCCGGATATAAGTTGGACAGTCTGAGGGGGTACCGTGAAGTTGGTACGACGGCAACTGAATATTGGAAGTGGTGATTGACAGATGTCTCGTGCAGACAAACGTAATCCGTATTACGAATTTAGATACACAGTAAATGCGTTCTCGGTGGCGTCATATGTTAAATGTCAAATTATTAATTCATTATCTTGCTGTTATTACTTAAAATTTTTTACAAATCATGTTAGAAGTAACATTATAATGTACCTACATCACCCACAGTTACATCATTAGGCAAGCTATTTCATTTTTTTCTATGTTATACTTCTTTTGGCGCGTTTAGAAAAGTTATGAGAGTAAAATTTGTACGATGCGCGTGCGGTGTGCATAAAAGCGCGGCCAAAAAGCGACATGACGAAGTTGGTTACAAAATAACCACAGTATTATCATGGCAACCAATAACAACCCTTTTTTATGTGAGAGGGCTGCAAGCGAGCTGGCGATTCACCCGATGTTAAGTGATAACCGTCCCCCATGGACACTTATAACCCGTAGAGTTGCGTTGCCACCTTTTAATAAAGTGGGTTCCAGTTACCTCACTCACCAGACGAAACGCAGATGTATAACGCTTCTACTTCATGCCGGACTCCTGTGAGGTACTTCCACGGACGGACCTGCCCATTCGTGCAACAGGAACGATTCTTGCGTGGCCCTACCACTGTAAACTTATTGACATTTATTATTATTTTACTTTTGTTACCACAAATAAGTATAACATCTTAAGTGAGTACATAACTTTTAAATTATAACAACTGTCGGCCTTTGTAAATTGATCTGACCACCAAACTTATGATAGGAACTTAAAAAAATACATGCATTTGTGTTTCGGTATTATTTAGAAAGATTAATTGTCTAAAACTAATGTTAAATCAGTTGATTTTAACTTAAGTTACTCTTTTAAGACTTAATTGTATACTGTTTAGAATTATTCTTTCTTCTTAATAAATTAAAATATTTAAGAAATTCTAGCATTAGACGATTTTAGTCACAAATATTATTGCTGATAATAGGCATTCTGTGAATAGTAAATATTTGAACGGTTTAAGACGTTATAAAATTTAATTAAGGCGAGTCATCAGTCACCAAGCGGTACGGGCCACGTCACTGCTTCAGAAAGATAACGTGGGGTCAGGCGATGCACTAACTGCCGGGCGGTGATGAATGTGCCCCTAACGGACCTCAAATATGCCCTTGTTGACAGCTCCTTACTAACTGTTTATGTTACCTATGCAAATAAACATCGGGATTACCTTAGCTGGATATTAATGTCGGGCATGGTCACGCCTTCGGGGTTTTATAATTATATTACGTAGAGTAAATAAAAAAAATGGGTTCCCAATAGAAATTTAATATGTTCGTTGACAAAGTATATTACTCATTAAATTTTCGATTTATTTAGCACTTGTTAGTATTGTGCAAACGAAAGGCATTTGAGGGCGTGTGCACGTAATTTGAAACACTTTTTACCGTCGTGTAAAGTAATTGCAAAAGTAAAATAAAGAGTTTTTAATTAATGAATAACAGGAATGATTGAGCTCTACGTAGCTCAATCATTCCTGTGATCGTGTGAATAATTTTTATGTAATTTTCATCATTCCGTTCGATCGACCGGCCGCCACCGCCGGCAACTTCGCAGCGCACATTAAAATATCAAATGGCAACACAGGGCGTGCGGAGCTCGTTACACGTTACGGCGTTCACCTTCTCACTCCTCATTAAAATTTGCACGACAGCTTCTAAATTCTACTCTTTTCTCCGCACCTCCATTTCAATATACGGGAAAAAGTGGAAGAGCACCGTGCACGGAGCACCGAGCCGGGCTGGCAAAACTTTTGCCGCCCCACCCGCTCGAGGGGGGCAAAAAGTGTTGCCGACGGGGAGCCCTCGTAGCTATACCTATGTCGGGGAAAAGTTTTCCGTGTTGCGGGCAGGGGGAATGGGGGGGGAGGGTGAACGCATGCGCGACGTGCTAGCCGCATAGCCGATGTAGCAGTCCTGTTCGGGACTTTGGGATGGATGCAGGGGCGCTAATCTCTCCGCGGCAACGCAGAGCGATTTACGTAACTGTTTCGTATTAGATGCCGTTTCGTGCGTCGCGTTTTAAGTAATAAAAGACGATAACAATTATAAGCTATGCTACAACTACTATGTTTTATAAAATAAATGTAGTTTATTTTTATTTCCTATTCGATGATTTATATTTGCCTTTTAACGTTAATACTTTACGGATGCGGAGGTTTTGTATTAATCGACCTTTTCATCTTTCTAAATGTTATTAATTTCATTTACAAAGAAAATGTTAAAAACTAAATGTTTTTCTACACGTAAACTATACTACTAAATTTAAAAATCATGACGATTAGGCTTGCTGAGTTGGGAAGCAATAGGTTTTAATCCCCTGCATCTCGATTTGAATCAAAATTTTATTATTTATAGATTATAATGTTTGATCTAGATTTAACTATGTGAACTTGCTAAACTGATATAGTTCGTTTTGTTATCCATTGCTGCGAAATAACTGCATCGAGTAATTCATAGGCCTTGTATTTTCCTGGTCTAATGCGACAAACTTGAACTCTTATATTTTTATTACGTTTTACGCCTTAATTTTTTATTCTTCTTTAATAAATTCAAGAGGCTATTCGAAAAGAGTAATATTATGGATATGTAAACAAATGGCAAGCGAGCAGGCGATTCAGGTGATAGTAAGTGATGACCGCCACCCATGGATATTTGTAACACCTTAAGGGTTGCATGTGCGTTGCGAACGTTTTCGAAAATGGGCCCCGGTTTCGTCACTCACCAGAGGAAACGCGAAAGTATAATATACCCTTCCACTGCACGCTGGTCTTCACTGTGGACGCGGTACTTCGACGGAAGAGCCTGCCCACCGTTTCAATAGCAGATACCACTACGTGGTTCCACCACATCTCCCCTCCGATACCATCAATCAAGCTGCATTTGAAGACGCTCTACGACGTAGCTGTACGTCGTAGAGCGTCGTAGCGACGACGCGGTCGAACCTTGAACGCCTCGCGCCACTTTCCATCGGGACTTGTTTGGACTTGTTGTTTTCCCGCTTGTCGCCGAACTAAATTTGAGTTGCTGAACTAAAGTTGGTGGATATTTAAAGGGCAACTTTTTCACGGAGTCAACGGCCTTTTGGACCGTCACCCAGTTTCGGAGTACCCACGGAGTTATGGCAGTTGTTCGGAAACTACTTGGACCAGCGGACAGAGGGCTGCAGCGGAAGGTCATGGCGCTAATTCGACCTTGCCTACTAGTTCTGCATAGTTGTTTGCCAACACAAGTTCGAAGTTGATGCGTAATTGTTGTTATAAGTTAATGAACACTAGCATAAGCATTCGAGTTTGAATATATGGACGTGAGAAAATGCATATTTACAGTATATGCATTTTCTTGTTAGATAAAGGGTAGTAATAAATAAATTGTAATGTCTTACAAGCTACATTTAAAAAAGGAAAGACCAAAAAACATTTGAATTATTTCCCTACGACCGACAATTGTGATTTTTTTTTTTCAGTATGCAATTTTGGGCTCTTTGACAAGTCCATATTCGTGAATTATGGCAAATAATTTTTCATTTAAGATTTTCAAACCAAAAAATCTGATGCAGTAAAGTCTCATATAAATAGTTAGCTATGAAGAAAAAATCATGTTCAATAACACAAATTCTGTCTTATCAGTTACCGCATTTGACTATTAAGTTATCTTCTTAAGCGAAAAATTTTGGATAGCTTAAATTAAACTGTAAATAATAAAAGTAAATAAATTTAAAACTTTTATTCTTTATTTCATGACCACTATAATACATACTATATCATACTACATATAATAAGTAATAATAAATAATGATTTTACATTTCAATTTTATAACTTTGCATATTGTGAAAGAGCATCAGACTAAGCTTATAAATTTGAAAGTACATTGCCAGTATCAAAGATTGTAAATTTAATTTATAAAAATGAGAAAGAGAATGAAAAAGAAAGAGATATTATAGTATCGAAAGTGAACATGTATAAATAAAAATTAACACTAATACTGTATTACATCGTCGTTTCGTTCGTGTACATTCAAGTGCGTGGCATGTGATTTTTAAGTATTATTTATTAATTATAGATTAAAAATAAACTTCGTTTAATAAATCTGTAATGGCGGTTTCAAATTAAGTGTACAATAATGCGTTAAGATTTTCGTCGGTGTGGTAATCAGCCGTTTAGCTCAGTGGCTAGAGCGTCAGGCCGCGAATGCCGAAGACGTGGGTTCGATTCCCACAGCGGCGACAATCTTTTCGCACTTTTTCTACATATTTTAATGTTCAATCTTAAGTGCAAAGATTAGCACTTTAAACAATTTAAATTTCTAAAAAAGCAATGGCGACATCTCTCGTTCGAATTATCGTTGTAAAAATGATATTCGAAATTGTTTGTATGCTGGAAAGGATACTAACAATAGATGGCGCCAAGCATTGCTTCAAATGCTAAGAAAACAATGTGGAAGAATGCGTTAAGATTTTCGTCGGTGTGGTAATCAGCCGTTTAGCTCAGTGGCTAGAGCGTCAGGCCGCGAATGCCGAAGACGTGGGTTCGATTCCCACAGCGGCGACAATCTTTTCGCACTTTTTCTACATATTTTAATTGACCATAAATAATTCAATTTTGATATGGTTTCTATAGATGTAGGTAATAAGAAGGACACGGTATAAATAGATTTTTATTATCATGTGTGAATAAATTGTGACAAACCTAACTAAAAAATAATACTAAAGATAAGTATAGAATGTAAACTTAATGTTTGTATGTCTAATTATTTGTATACCAGAAATGGTTGAATATGATGGAACTATATAATATGGTTGTCAACATCTTTTATACCATTTTCAAACCAATAAATAAATAAAACAAAGAGAAACGTGAAAAGCTATAGTTATAATATCTACAAAAGAACATAATGTAACCAAAAGATTTAATGCCATTTTATTTCAAGCTGACATAAGGATTAAACGGACTAAATAATATTTTATTTAGAAACTAAACATTTATACATCTTAAAAACGTCGATTATACATCTGCTATTGCTAAACGCGCTCTATCGTAATGAACAACTACCAAATCAGGGAACAGACAACAATAACGCCAAAATATCGTTTATTTCAGTCTTCCGTCGGATTCGTGAATAATCCAATGTTTTAGCGGCGATTGAATCATTTATATCTAACGCAATCACCAAAAATCCATTCAGGAACGAGAGATGGACCGATCTCGGATCGAGACGACTTAATTAACCGAATTTCCATTGGACGTCAAAGGCTTCAAACAAATTGGCCACGGCGAAATAATGCGGCGGGTAATCGTCGTTAGACAGCGACGGCCGACCGCCATCGGCGTCGCACCTGACTAACAAAATTAATTACAGCCCAATAAGGAAATATTAACCGTCCGCTTAATAAGCCATTCTCGGGGATACGCCGCAATTAAATTGGGAGGGTCGCGGAGTCATTATTTATAAACAATAATATATCAAAGAGATATTTTCAAGATGGCGCCCACCACAGACCACGCGATGCTATGCCGCGAAATCCTTTCGCGCGCGAAACGTTTTCTTCGAAGCGAAAGATTAGAAAAAGAACATATTTGAAAAACAACGTCAATAATGTGTTCTAAATTACGTCAAACATTGAACATATTCCAACTACTTTCACAGTCACCTTTAACTTTTTTCTGCCCATCACTTTTGATAGTTCTTCACTATTATTAACTTATTAAGTAACTAAAACTAAAACTGTCCGAAAAAAAAATGAAGACTTTATTTTGTAATTTACCTAAATCAAATACATATTCAACGTCTAGCAAGTTAATTTATATTGAAGAATACAATTAAAAAATATTGCTGTTCATAATTCACACTGTAAACATGAATCCTAAAATTCACAGAGGAATTTCCAGTTGCTGAACGTCTACTGGCGTTGGAGAGAGCAAAACACGGCACGGGTCGGCGTACAACTCGTATTTATGGTTATATGACGGAAAAGTTTTGGAGCGTAGGAGCTAAAGCCATCGATTTTCAAAACTTTTTCATGGAAATAAACCTACTTTCGTTGTGTACGCGCCGACGCCGCTGTGTGTGTAACGAGGCCCACTCATACAAACACAACCGGTTGGAGGTCACACGCCCTCAATCGATTGTTAATGCAGATTTTTTAATAAAAACGTAAATTAAAAAACTGTTTTTTAATTTACGTTTTTTGGCGTACGTAAAGGTTATTTACATTAAATTATAAGCGCGTTTTAAAAAACACGTAATGTTCGCAGAGATTAGTGATTACTTTCTTTTAAAATTTATTTACGTAATATCAGGTCAAATTCCTTGTATGTACAAAAGTTCTCAAACATCAACTTCTCAAAATCACACAGATGGAAAAGGTTACAAAGCTTTGTCACAAAATAACGTTTTTATTATAACAATTTAATTTAATAACACGTTTGTTTATACTCCAAGCTACAAGGTCTATCGACCGAGTGTATGGAACGTATTTTAGCACACACACACACGCAAAGGTACTGTACTTGTAATGGGCCCGCAAAGAAAACTTTTTAAAACTTTTCCAGCGAGGCAATATGGCTCGTGTTCTCAGCCGTAATGTTTTATTTAGGCTACATTTAACCGTCTCTCTCTACGTTAGGAGTTCATATTTATGAAGAAACGAGACGGTTGTACTTAGTCGTATACTGCAAAAGGAACGATACGGCTGCCTTGGCCGGGATACGAAATAATTATTTCTATTCTGTCATTGTCGTTTATTTTTTATGTGTTGTCGTCATTTTAAGTGTTGCAATCAGCTAGAACTGACAAAATTAACTAAACTTACCTAGGGTTAAAAAACCATCGATCAGCTCTTAATAGTTTTAATTGCGACGATCCCATAAATTAAAAATAAAGATTGGTCGTCACAGTAATAATTTAATTAAACATTAAATTTTCATTTTATTTCAAACGCTTGCTTAGGGGTTTTCAGTTCACAAAAAAAGTTGTATAAGGTATAAAACGTTTCAAACGTTGGCGAGGTATACGTTAGAAGGCGAGAATGCAGTCTCACGGTGATCGTTTATCAAGATCGCCATCTGATTGGGGCGCGGCTCAGCTGCGTTTTATTGTCAAATTACCGCGCGCCCATTCAAATTTTAATTTATGTTTCGAACAGCACGTTCTGAAATTGAAATTTCTTGTTTCATGTACTCTAGTGTGCATCGATTTTTGAACATATTATTATGAAAGATATTTATTGTTTTCGTATCATAATTAACTATCAAATATTTATGTGTCAAGTTTATAAGATGCATAATAGGTTTCAGTATGATTTTTTTCTACAAATAATGTTTCAATTTAAGTGCAGAGATAATTTAGCACTATAAAAATTTATATTCCATATAGCAATGGCGAGATCTCTCGTTCGAATTATCGATATAAAACTATATTTTGAAATTTATTGTATGCTGTAAAGGAAGGACATAACAAAAGATGCATGATGCCAAGTATTGCTTATGATGCGAAAATAATTTAGAGAAAATCAGCCGTTTAGCTTAGTGGTTAAAGCGTCTGGGCGCTATTCCGCAAGACGTAGGTTCGATGCAGCGGCGAAAAACTCTTCGTCCGTTTTGCTACAAACTTTAAAGTTTAAGTTTGTTCAAAAGCGCCCTTAGTGTGTATCTTATAGATATAACTTTCGTACGATATATTCTTTGATATAGAATAAATTTTCTACAACAAATTAAAATATATATGAATGCTAAAATGATTATTGAAAATAATTTCTTATAGGTGCCTGGCGTTAAGATATAAATAATAAAAGGCTTCCTTGCTCTCTGATGGGCATCATGCGATTTTACCTCTAATCTTAATTCCGTTCTTAAGAGCCGCCGAATTATCAAATGGACGTCGCCATTAAAATTGCCAGAGTTCGGACTTTTCTTCGCTCCAATGTAAGCCGTAAATTATGAAGGCATTGTTTTATGCCCTCATTACATAGATTGTTTTAGTAAGAGGAAATTTATTATTTTAACAGTATTACGATTTCTTACAAAGTATTACGTAACTGATTTATGTTTAATTACGTTTTAAAAATGTTGTTATATTGTGAAAGTTTTTCACCCGCCTTTTTTAAGGACAAAAGACTTTTAAAGAGACAACGATTTAAAAAGGAAATCATGAATAACAAATTATTTTTAAAAACATGTGT